TTCTAGACATTTAGGAAAATTGTGTTAAGCATCTTAGTTTTCAATGATAGGCTTGAGACTGTGGAGCTCCTGTTCACTTCATGAGCATGCCATGGTTTTGCATAGAATGCTACTCTAATAACCGATTCCATATCTGTTTAAATCAATTTTCTTGATTTCTGTTTTTACTTAAATGCTTGGTTTTTTTCATTAATTTCAAGGAAGATAGTCTTTTGCGACAGTATACCGCTATTTTGCAGCACGAACGCAGGCAAACATAAATCTGCAACAAAGTGGCCTCCGTATTGTTCAATAGTATCTTCCAGACAACTATGTAATAACTTCGCCTAAAACCAAGGAATTCCATTCCCTGCAAAGAGAATCAGGCAAATACAAAACAGACCTTAACTTGCAATCAAAAACTATTTTTGATTGCGCCGGCATGTCAAGAATGGTAGCACACACCATTACAACGCATGGTGGCGCATGCAGTCATTTTCAGGAATACTAGTGAATTGAAAAATGTGTTGTATGTAAATAGATTTATTGTCGGAATCGATACATCAATAAAATGGTAGTTCACATGAATGCATACAATCAGTACTTTTGCCAGTCAATTTTCTGCAGAGCCGAGTCGATCGCAGATTGGAGGATACGTTGAACGGCGGTGCTACTACTCACAATCGGTCTAATGATTATGGTTATCAAAATGGGTCCCTTGACATTGATGCCCTTCCAAACACTAATCGTTAAGGTGACCTTTGGTGCCGGTTTCACGGACTTCGTGAAGTGCGCGTGAAGGTCGAATTTTGCCTCAGTGATGGAAATTGTAACCGACTACAAGAATTTAAATAAAACCAAGCTTAAATGTTCTGTAAGAGGAGCAAGTTAATCTTTAACGCCTGTTGCAAATAAACAAATTTAATTTGGCCTATGGATTCATCAATTGCACGTTATTCAACGCTTGGACAACTCAAGTAAAATAATTGAAACAGGAGCATAGATTTTAATAGCCAACCTCTGTCATGCCTGTGAATTGACACTTGGAACATTAAATTACATGGCAGGTTTTTATCCTGAAAAAATACACATTTACCATTAATTGATTATTAACCATTATGGCAGTCGTCATCTTCCAAGGCGACGTTAAACTACGGAAATGTAGGTAACTTAGAAAAAAACCGCTTTTATTCCACAGATTTAAAAGAAATATTGAATGCAACACAACTCACTGTGTCTGTCAGGGTGATAGAAATGTCAGTGACATTGACACAGGTGCTGAAATCAAACGACAGAAGTTTGTTATCCATCGTTTCATTCACCGTCATCGGACAAGCACGACTCACATTTCCCAGTTTGGTAATCTGGATTGTGCCAACTAGGTTCACATTAGGAATTTCAAAATTCGTCAAATCGACAGGAAGTGACTCAAGAATGCTGTCCACTATCGAGTCAGGCGTAGAACCTTAGAATGTGCAGGAGCACGTAGAGAGGGGAAAGAACGAGACATACCATACGCCTGGCAAAAGATTGGTAGAATGCCTATCAGAATGAGAAGTGCATACTCACTAAGAAAATGCATGTTTGTTGGATTTTGATTCACCAGACGGCGCGTGGCTATGAGCAGGCCACCTCAAATCGAACACTTTATGGCATTAAAGTTGTCTGATAAATAACTAATGTCACTTTCTGCATTTTTATTGGTTTGCAAGAGTCCTTCACTGAGTGGTGTAACGCCATCTCGACGTAGGGTATGACAATCGAATCAGACGATTGATATCGTTACTAATCTGATATTTGCTGTCGCAGGTGTGTGTGTGTGTGCACGCCTTTAAAAAGGCGAGTGTACGTTTAATGCAGACGATCACAATTCTTCTCAAGATTATAAATGGGAACTACCAACCTGGGGTTCCACTTACTAAAATCGGAAAATTGATTCCTGGGGTGCAGTAATTTGAGGCAAACATTT